CTAATGTTATTTTCATTCAACAAAAAAAGGCAATAAGAATATAAGGTAATCTAAGGTATAGAAATACGTGTAGACCTTTATTTATCATACTCAGAATCATGACTCTTTCGTCCCTATACATTTACAATTCAGTCCTTGAAATACACAAAACATCGTCCAACCTCAGTACGCATACTGACATTCACCATCATAACACTAGAAACTCTAACAATATCAGACTTCCTAGATATAAGCTTTCTATTTCACAAAAAATATTTTTAGATTTTAGTCTCTACAATGCACTACCTCATCAAATCAAAACGATGAGTGTGAATGAGTTCAAACGAACCATCAAATCGTTTTTGCTAAAAAACAGTTTTTACTCAACCAATGAGTACTTGGAAGATATTCAAGGTGTGACCTTTAGCCTCTGAGAACATACTTACCATGTATGTACTGTTTGTTTAACCTTAACCTTATATTTTTCTTATATTTTTGTATGTTTATGTGACGTGATATTTTGTTATTTAATTTTGAAAGTGTATTAGTGTATTACTAAATAGTTTACTTGTGATATCTTTTGAGACCAAATGACGCTATGAATATGCATATGTAATGTGATATAGTCAAATAAACTATCTATCTATCTATCTATCTATCTTTTTTTTTTTCAAAGGAGGAGGGGAAATCTTCATAGACTCTGTGCCGGATTCCTACCGACTAAAACCCCTCCCTCGTTGCTCAGCAATACGTACCGGAAACCGCTCTCGCATTACTTCGATACGTATGCTCTAGACAGTGTTTGTACGAAACACTAAAAGTAAAAATTCGAAGAACTATAGGACGTTTACATATACATTTAAAGAAAATATCACAGTTATCATCACGAACTTTTGGCAGCTATCACATTTGGTCATCGATTTGTGCTCCGCCTGATCTCAAGTTTCTTTGAGCTTATTTCTCGTCACCTGCTCTCTCTTTCCTTAGTTTTGATGATTTCTCTTATTGTCATATAGGTTTTGTTCCAAGTCTCTTCGCCACGTAAGAAACTTTCCATCATATTTTCGGCATTGAATATGGTGTTTGTTTCACGTGCATACAGAAGTCTCGCATTTTCCCATCTTACACAGACAAAAAGGGTGTGTTCTACGTCGTCGTCTGCATTGCAGTAAAGACAATCTGGAGATTCTGCTCTTCTACGGTTATATAGGTATCTACGGAAACAACCGTGTCCCGACAGTGCCTGGGTGAGGTAATAGTCCACNATGGGAAACAAGTGGTCTGTTACTTCCTTCATCTTATCAATATATAAATTCAGTTTGGGAGGAAATCCCAGCATCCCCTTCATCGCTATCTTATACCCATCACCGCAAATGTCTCTATCTACTTCTTCACATAGTTTTTTCCAGCAGTCCTATCTATCTATCTATCTATCTATCTATCTATCTATCTATCATATGGAAACCTGTAATCAAGCGGGAAAACGACCAGTTCTTGCTAAACGGAGAGAGGTAATAAGAGGGGATAGGTAAAAGCGCTCAAATGACCTACAAATAGTCTGAGGAGGAGGAACAGTCCAGTCATCGCCCAAAGACAATTTTGGATACTGACAAATGAAAAATCGTGAATAACATGATTTGAAATATTTTTTTTATTCCTCATTTTTTTAATCTTTTGCTCATTTTTATTTTTGTTTCTTCTTACTCTGTGGTCATTTTCATCTTTTATCTTGTTTATCTTATTCGTTCTATTGTATTTTCATTCCATGTTTCATTACCTAATATTATTGATATTTAAGTTATTCATTCTGATTTTATTTGTTCTTTCATAGATTTGGAATCATATTGGACAATGGAAGTCGTAACTAGTAAAATTCACCATGAAATATCGTCAACCACAAAAGCTGTATCAACAGCCAGTAACTTGTATTCATATACTTAGCTTTTCCAGATGATTTACGTTTCGGAAAGCAATCCTTTTCCGACTTGGAAAAACCCAACAACGCCTCAATTGCTAACTACAATATTTCTTTTGACATAGGTATGCCAGAAGAATGAAATATAAAAATGTTATATTTGCAGTGAGTGCAGTGAATTCCTTCGGGTTTCGAAAACGGAAAAGAATCATTATCAAAAACGAGAACGGATTCGAAAAATCACGTTATAGTGGTTCAACTAAAAATATAATCTAGAGGTAAGTGGTATTTAGTTTTTGAACCAAGTGAACATGTGACCGTTCGTGATTACAGAAAAAAATTACCTTTAAATGGATCACAGCAATGAAAGTAAAAAAAGACCTCAGAGAATTGTTGAAGCAATATATTGTCTCAATTATGAATAGCTAATGATGCCCTCAACTAAAATATAATTGTTCATTCAGAGGGGGAAATGTAAGATATTATTACAAACCATCCTGTGAGTCTGACAATAAATAGTTTGTTTCTAGGTAGTAAAGTTTAAAAGATACAGAATGCTCGAAGAGCTACGGATTGTTTTATGTTGGAAAATGAACGTGAGAACAGAAACTACACCCTAGATTTTTTAGTAATGATATCACACTCGAACTAAGAAAGAATACATTATAGAAACCCATTGAACTGAACAATTGAATTGTTTTCTGAACAGTTTCGTCAAGCAAATGTTTGACAAACTTTTTGACCTTTTTATTTATGTTTTCATTTATGGAACCATTAAAATGAATCAAATATGACCTACTGTACTTTTGCACAATTTCAAGAATCTGAAAAATGTACACAAAACTCTCAGGTCTGAAGTACTTGTTGTTGTTACATTAATGAATGTTTGCCTCGACAAATTATTTTTGTTCAAAGTTTATTTCTTTAGATTTGTTTACTGCCAGTCTTCAAGCGTAGCCCACTGACTAATAAGAAAATTTTCCTTCCTTATTCAGAGAAACCGGGCAAATTACGGATATGCAGTTGGTTAGTACCTCGTCCACTAGATGGAGTGACATTTTTTTGTTTCGGACCAACTTAAGAAGAGGAATGAAATACTCGTGAAAGAATTCCGATATTCAATTATGTAATACCATTAACTTTAGGTCGATGATGGCCACTATCTTGCACTGATGAGTGGCTAATGAGCCCAAAACCGGTCTGCAAGTGTGCCCGTTCCAGAATTGAAGGTCGACCCTTTCAATTGTATTGTCAATTGCATATGCGGGAAATTTTCTGTGAAGATTCCTGCACTGACGCCTGTCGGATAAATCCAACACCCTTCGTGGTATTAGCCAAGGGATTAGTTGTTTTCTGATAGGCGTCAATCCAATCAACATATTGTGTAGGTATATTCGAGACTGGTTCGAACGTTTAGAGTTCATTTCTTTAGATAAATTATTTTTGGTTACAAAAACAATGGCATATCATAATTGAACATGAATCTGTTATGTATTTCAGTTCTGAATTCTCAATATATTTCTTAATCTCAATAGATATTATACAATTGTAATCGATATGGCGCTAATTAATCAATTCATCTAGAGGAAAAAAAACGAATTCACCTGCGTTGGCAGTACAATGAGCGCCACACATATCATGATGACCATCCAGAGCTGGGAGGGCCAAATATCAGGAACGAAATCACCATATCCAACAGTGGAGAAGGTCACTACAACATAGTAAGTTGCTTGGAAGAGATTCAGATGTCGATGACCAGCTCTCTGGCAGTGCTGAATACCGCAAACGCTACAACGAAATTATTTTCATTCAGTTAATCGTAATATCAACTCAGAATAGTGTGTTTCAAATTAGGTTAATTTTCACTTTACTGAAAGTTATGGAGAATATTGGGAATATTATTGAGAATATTTCTCCGAGAGAATCTGATGCTCCAGAAAACATTCTCAAAAACTGAACAGCAAAAACGGTTGTGACGTCACCAGATATTATTTGTATTCACTTGCCTATGTTGTGGAGATATGGAGGATTAGTCAGGGTAGTAATTGTTTTCAAGCAGGCATTCACCTGAACCTACTGTGTAGGTGACTGGGAGAGATGAATATTTCGACAGGAATAATATTGAAAAAAACATTCCGAAATTATGTGCTACTTGAGCTCTTCTCATCATTCTAGATTTAGGGATTGAATGTACCTCTCGTGAGGGGTGTGACCCCCCCCCGAGAATGAGCAGTTCTCAAACAGATACCCTGTATATTCAATGACACTGAGGTGGCAGGTAACATATTTATCGTGTCGGTGTTTGTATTTTATCACGACTGGAGAATATTAAAATAGACGATATAACAATACAACCTGGTTGTAAAGATGTCGAGAAAGAATGTCGTGAAACTCAAGTTCAATAATAAACACAGATTTAGAGATTACGAAATTATTTAATGATGATATTTCCATATTTGATAATTTTTGACCAAATTCACCAAGTTCAGAGATGAATTATGATTTGCTATGAGGTAGTATCAATATTAGGCTTTTTAGTAGTTGGTTAATACATATGTTAAATTTGAAAGTACATATTGAATACGTTTCCGTTCAAAAATAAATGTCGATCACCTGTTACATGTTTCCTAGCCGATGTCGCAATATATTGCCAAACATTACTGACCTTTTTCCATATTTCTTTTTGTTTATTGTTGCTCCGATATATGTAGCGTTTCAATTATTATCAATAATGAATCAAACTAAAATCGTCTTTCAGGTAACGTGAAAAATGAACAGCGATTTTCAGAACAACTTCATATCTCCAGAACAATCTCGTCATTACATTTGGAACCTAGGACATCGGTTGCGGAAGCACATCTTCACCGGCAGCAGGGGGTTGGATATCTTAATGAGGATCTAGAAGTGGTTCTGAATTGGGATGGGGGAAACCAGATTCGATTCAATGCCACAAAAACCCAGGCATCGATTTTTTCCATGACGATAAATATCTCCGAACCGGATATAATAATGTCAGGTCAGTCAATTCCGCTTTCTGCTCTGATAAGTTTGTTTGTTAGGTTATGTCTTGGCACAATCATGTCGATGCAATACCAAAAGCTGCTTCTGAAAAGCTTGGAACACTGTTCCGAACCAGAAAACTGTATACACCTCAGCAACTTTTGATGCTTTATAAAGCTCAGATCAGACCTGTTCTGGAGTTTTGTTCTCATGTATAAAGCTCTGCTCCCGAACATACCGTGAAGCTGCTGGATTCCATCCATAAAAGTGCCATCTACCTGATTGGAGACGCGAACGAGAAAGTAGTCGTTTTCCGGCAGGCATTTACTAGAACCTAGTGTGTAGGTAGTGGGGAGAAGTGAGTATTTTGAAATTTTGTTTCAGAATATTCATTTTCTAGTATAATGAGAAATTTTAAATACCTTTTTCTGGAACCGTTATGAAGAAGACGGGATTTCATCTCGCACTTCGTCATGCTTTTTCCATAACATCACTTTCTTCGTCACTGCTGTCATTTTGTACGGCTCTGACAAAATTGTATTCGGTCGCAGAAATGGAATAGTGTGATATTTCTGAATAATTGATGATGATACATAGTAGTCCCGAAAAATGCAGTGTATGTTACATTGAACTTCCATCATGTATTTGATATGAAGTATTAAAGTTAACAAAATCTTCTTTATACGAAAGTTTCAATTTCCATTTTGGATATTCTCTGAAATATTTTCCAAAATACAGGGTAACGAGTAAAAGTGTGGCAAAGCTAGGTTTTTTCGAAAATAAATGGTATATATTGCTTTCTTTATTCAAGTTCCGCCAGAAAAGTATTTCTGGAAGATTGAATATTGTGGTATCACAGCCAGGATGTTTATCTGATATATTCAACCACGATAACTCTTTCATGAGGATTTTTCATGAAGTATCGACGAAATCTATGCAAAATTCCGATGAACGTTGAGTTGAAATGTGTTTATCCGATAAACCAATTTTCTTTACTTACAATCGACAGCACTCAGAAGTCGTAAGTTATGCAAGCTGGGAATAAACTAAGTTTCATTTTCCAAGGTGCAGTTTCTAGCACGAGTCAAACGATACTGCGTACAATCGAATATCCCACAGTTAGAATCGAAAAAACGTCATTGAATGAGCAGAACGAGTCACTCACGCTAACCAACCGCTTATCGTTTGGTTCAATCAGACTATTTCATAACTTCACTGAAGTGCTCCGACAATTATTAACTACTAATTATTAGATATTGATTCCATAAATCAACCTTACCAGTCATGAGGCATTATTCGAAATCTTACTTGCAACAATGGATGGGCATAAAATTCGTTGAGAAAATCCATGATGGTGTCAGCATGGAGTGTGGTACTACAAACTACGACGTGTTTCTCTGATTGAGCCCTATGAGATGAATATGAACCTCCTAGTTTTTGGCGTTCCATCCAAGTGAATGCTAGTTGCTCAAACTGAAAATAAAACTGATTATAATGCTATATTCCACAACTAGTAGTCCACTGCAAAAAATTTGAGCAAATTCGAGTATCAGGAAAGTGTTTCACAAATGTTTTAAAAATATAGGTTTGTGGGGAAAATGATCAAAGATTTAGAAACTTTCGAAACTGTTATTATTTGTTATTTGATATGACTTCCACATGACTGAAAAAGGTTCAATTTGTATTTTTTCATAGACAGTGAAAGTTCACTACATACAGTTGGTGCCTGAGGGAGCAGATGTCTGTCAACCCCAGCAAAACTGTGTTAATCCCCTTCACCAAGAGAAGGAAATTAGACGATCTAACGCCACTTTCCCTCAATGATGTTATCATTTCATTTAGAACGGAGGTGAAATATCTTGGCATCGTTCTTGATAAAAGACTCACCTGGAACGCTCACTTGGAAAAAGTTTTACACAAAGCCAGACTGTCTCTATGGACATGTCGAAGGATTTGTGATAAAACTTGGGGTTTAGGTCCCAAACAAATCCATTGGATTCATGTGATGATTGTCAAACCAATGATCACGTATGGTGCAATTGCTTGGTGGCCGAAGGCTGTACAGAAAACGGCCCAAGCGAAGCTCTCTGGCTTACAGAGACAGGCTTGTCTGGCTATCAGTGGTGCCATCAGTACCACACCGTCGGCGGCCATGGATATCCTTCTAGATCTACCTCCTCTTCATATTTTTCTGGAAAGAGAGGCTAGATGGACTGCATACAGACTTGTGCACATTGCCAATTGCACAAATCAATTCAAAGCAGAGTGCAACAGACTGTTGGTTGACATTGAAAGTCACAGCATTCTGGAAATGATCTCTGACTTTATGCCTCCAACTGTCAACTACTAACTGCCTCATGAAGTACTATTCCCGAGTAGAGAGGACTGGATCCTGTGGGAGAAGGAAATATTAAGAGCAGATAGTTGTTGGTTCACAGATGGATCAAAAACAGCTTCCGGTTTTGGTGCAGGTGTTTTCAGTTGCAGACCCAGGAGGGAATTGTCTACCTGCCTAGGTACTTATGCGACTGTATTCCAAGCGGAAATTTACGCTATTGAATTTGTGTGCGGAGAGATTGGATAAATCCAAACCCACTCACAAGTCAATGAAAATATTCTCGGACAGTCAAGCGGCGTTGGAAGCTCTTGGCTCCCACCAAGCAACGTCTACATTGGTAGCAAACTGCCAAAAAAAAAATCTCCTCGATAGGAAGACTAACCACATTGTCTCTGGTCTGGATTCCTGGCCAAACTGGCCTGGAAGGCAATGAAGCTGCTGACTCTCTTGCAAAGGATGGTGCTGCAAGCGGCTTCATTGGACCAGAACCTGTCATTGGCTTCGCTTCGGGCTTTGCCAAATAAACACTTAACATCTGGATGGCAAGAAGAGTTATGGACTTCTGGCAGAATCTTCCAGGATGGCTCACTCCAAGGCGTCTATTCACCCTTCCAAGCTTGATTCCAAACAGTTGTTTGACTACAGTAGGGATGAGCTACGATGTCTAACAGGCATTCTTACAGGTCACTGTCATTTGAATCATTACATGCAGAGACTTGGACTGTCGGAAGACAGTGTGTGTCGCCTCTGTCTGGAAAACTGCAGAGCATATAATTTGTGCATGTCCCGCTGGGGACCGAATCAGGTTCTTTGAGTTCGACAGATCCATACTCTCACCATCTGACCTGAAAGGTCACTCACCATACAAACTAATCGGCTTCGTTAAGAAGCTGGGTTAATTTGGCCGAGTGTGAATAGGTGTGAGCCACAATAAACCCTTATGGGTTGCGATGGAGGGTCGAATAGACCCACTCACTTTAGACCTACCTACCTACATACAGGGCTATTCAAATTGCAGTCTATGCATAGTGATTTAGCAAATGACGGGTAATTGAACTTTAGAGAAAAACAGGAATATTCGCAGGTAGATATTATTTGTCTGTCATTTCTCTATTCGTGAAAATACTAGTACTGTTTGAATGGTGCCGTTGTATATTTCTTCGGACCATCAGAATATTATCACAAATATTCTTTCTACAAATTACATTTCACTAGTTCAGATTTTCATGGTCTAAAATTATTTCAATATGATTTAAAATACATGAAAGAACAAAGAAAATCAGGGCGAATTGTCATTACTTTCACAATGGAGAGGGATGTCCACAACGAATTGCCATTCTTAAACGTATTGGTGAAGAGGACCGACACTAAATGGGAAACATCTGTATATCGAAAACCCACTCACACGGGAGACTATCTGAATCACGAACCCAGCTACCATCAATCTATA